ACGGGATTTCTGCCATACTCGAAACCGGTCGGCCGGTAGTACACTTCAATCTCAACGTAGATCGTTTGCTCGACACGCCAAAACATGGCTGGCTTGGCAAACACGGGCCCAATCTGAAGAACTGCCTCGCAGCCGACCTTGGCGAGCGAAACAGATCGCGAGCCCCACAATGACATCTTCAACGTTTTGAACGCGTGAACTTGTCCCTGGAGTTGCGCCCTCCGCAGGGCCGCTGTGAAGACCGTAACAGGCGAACCTCTATTCTCGCGTGTGAGCACACTGGTCACGATGTTATCGACCTTCTCTGGAGTAACAGGACAGCGAGTCAGCACGCCAAACTCGCGACCAGCAACGTAGGGAACCACATCGTCGACGTGCTTGACTATTCTGGCTACCAGTCTTGGAACAATGTCATCATGTGGACCAGGACGGATGAGGCGGCCGTAGCGGTTGATTGCGCGCTCGAACGGAAATGTCGATACTGTCATGCCCCACTGGCATGCCTACTTACTTGCATGCATTACCTTGTATTGTTTGTTAGTAATGGGCACATTACAAGTCCTAAAGACTGCAGCAACGCTCTTGATGGTCTCGTTTGACAGTTTCGCGAGCGAGGCAATCGAGTCGTTGTCGACCTGAACCACCGTGGACATGGCGATTCGCGTCATTTCTGAAAAGTTCCACCAGATGTTTTGCACGCTCTTGGTCACCAATCCCAGAAAGATGTGCTTGCCGCAAACCAGGACGAAGTTGAGCATCTCCTCGGCATTGTACGACTTGTGGTAGACAGTGCACTGTCGAGGCTTCCGCATAACAAAGGAAGGCCAGTTGATGGATTCCAGGCGTTTATGTTGATGAAGACAACTTTTGTGACTTTATCTTTGATGCTATGCAGAGGCTGGATAAGAAGCCGGTATGCAGCAGCCAGGCGATCGTTAGGGCTTGTCGGTTGTGGTTCGGGTTCGGGCGCTGCCGGTGGTGCAGTCGGCTCGCTCGTGGCGTTGTTCGTGGCATCGTTCTCAGTAACGTCAGCTTCGTTAGCTTCGTCTTCCGTTTCGTAATCATTGTCATTGTCGCGTTCGACATCCTAAGAACAGAAGAACAGAAGGATGAGTGATGACTGTTTGTGCTCGCACCGCTCGTTGCGAGCTTCGCGGCAACCCTTACCATTGAGTCTCGAGAAATGTCGCCAGAGTCATCACCGTAGTCATCCACTTCCATGGCAGCTGGCTCGGATACGAGCGGTGGCGGACCCGAGAGAGCAGGATCTACCTCCATGGGAACAGTTTGCCCCACTCCAAAGTGCGCCTCGAAGCGCTGTTGCATCGCGGGGAATTCCACGAGGACAGAAGCGACGGTTGCATATGGACGTGTTTTGGTGTGGTTGTAGAAAGTTGACCGGTTAACTTGCTTGAAAGGGCCGTTGCCAAAAGCGAACTGCTTGATGGCCGACACGGCTCCCATGTTCGGCTGATTGCTCTGGCGATGGCGACTTCTCGCTTCATCTGTCATCCATACGTGTACCGAAGTACATGGATCTTTGTGAAAGTCGTCTCCGCACTGGCTGCAGATGCACCGCTCAAAGGAACGCCAAGCTTGAGACATAAAAAAATGAGTGAGCGCAAATCGGTCACTTTCCTTGATCGTATCACTGGCAAATCCGCGGTAGTTAGTCGTTGCCTGGTTCAGATCCCTTGTAAATATATTTTTACAATGGAAACAACGTCAAAGGTCACACCGAGCGAGCAGTGTGCGCCAATAAACAAGCTTTCATTGTTGGCTGCTTCTTGGGCCGACTTGAATTTCGCTTTCGAAGGCCTAGAGTCGTGTGCCATGACATAATATTTGGGGTGTAGTGCTAACGTGTGGAATGCATGAGTGAAATAACCGGGTTCTCTCGGCTTGATGATGGGATAATCCGAACAGTGGAGTTGAAATGGTGTGTTGAAAGAACGCTTGTTTGTCGCAACGACTCTCCCTTGACCAACATCGAAACTACGCCCGATCCACGACATCACGATACACCGTTACAACGAGCATTCAAAACAACATTACTCTATCCAGGAGGCGGGGCGGGCGGGGACAATGCAGCGGCAAAAACAACGATGAAACGAAGCAGTCGAGCTTGTCGGCACCATTTATGCGTCTTGCCACATCGTTTCGTGCGCCTTTTCTCGTCTTATAGTATTGCGGCAT